GCCTGTCCTGTCCGCCAGCTCCGGGTGCCTGGCCCAGGAGCGCCTGGTGCAGCCAGCCTACGTGCACCCTGCTAACCCAGCCCAGCTCGGGACTCCTGCTTAGCTTAACACTGATTCCCTGGGCACCCTGAGGTGCCACCTGTGACATTGCTGGGGTTTCTGCTGCTTTTCACTGCTAAGCACATGCTAATTTTTCTGCATGCCTTGATAGCTTAATGGAGAGAAATGTGTGAAGGGAATCAAAATCCAGAACAGATGGCCTGACCCAGGTCCTGTCCCTGAGAGACCCTCTCCTGCAGGCTCCCAGCACACTTGGCTGTATCTTGGTCAGTCTTAATTAACCTTTTCCATGAACTGGCTGCACTGAGTTACTCATCCCATAGCCGATGCCTCTAGCCAGGGTGCAGTATCCATGCGTGCTCACTGGAGCAGGTATGCAACGACCTCAGTCTCTCCAGATTTGCCGGAGCAACTATCTCCGCCACACTCTTATCTGTGCAAGTGCAGTAAATTTAACATGTTCAAAGACATCTTTGCAGCCTTAAGGTGTCCCCACTGCTCTAAGGCTGCTGAGCACCCGGAGGAACATCTAAATACTTCTAATTCTCCTTGAGCGAAGCATCTGGGCAGAAAGGGAGGAGAGTGAGCATCCATCATCAGTGGCACATCCTGCCTTCCCTCCCCAGCTGGAGCAGAGGTGCAGGCAGCAGAGCTGACTTCTGCCTGTGGACGATGCGAAGTGATGTCCCTGCTTTTAACCACAGTAGGCTGACTGTCTTCAAGTGTCACTTTTTTTTTTTTTTTTCAAACAAAGTCTGGGCATGCCAACAGGTCTGGTTAGTGGTTACCTGAGACCTTCTCTCTCATTCCATCAGCAGCAGAGAAGGTTTAGGCCATGGCACCATGAGAGCTGGTAACTTGCGGAGCTGCTGTAATGTAGAGACCTTCAAAGGTCTCCATCTCCCTTTGAAGCCAGCTACCTTGAAATGCTTCTTCCTGGTACTTTGCCTCACTTCAGATGCATAAGGTATCTCTTCGATATGACAACTTTGTACCCCTATGCAACAGTAAAAATAAAAAAATGATTGAGCTGACTAGTTTGTCCTGAAATTTTAATAAAGAAAAGTCTGGTCTTGGACAGAGACTAGAATATTTGTCTGACAGTGACCTCATGAAGGATATGAGTCATTGGAAGGTAGTTTATAGTCTCTACTCTAAAAGGGTGTTCACCTGTATCAACTGGGATTTTTCAGTCAAAAGCTGCAGGATGTGTCCCTTTTTAATGGCTCTGTCCTGGGGGAAATTGCATTTTCTTTCTGTTCTGACTTTCATTTTACACCGCAGCTACATTACGTGGAGGTATTATCTCACAAATGTTTTTTCAGGCAGAGATTCACTGAATCTCCGCATGCTGTTCTGGCTTGTCTTCAGTGAGATCAACATCACGCTGCAAACAGGAATAAGTACCCTCCCCTCCCCAGGGTCTCCGAAGGAGCGGTGTTAGACATTTGTTAACCCATACGGTGTCAGTGAGTGCCCGTGTGAGTTACTGGGGTGCACAGGGGAGTTGTGATTACAGAAGGACTGATGTAGGGCTAGCCTGCAATGACAGGAACAACAGACTGAACATGGCAATTTTGATTTTTCTCACTGTGGATCTACTTTATGTTATGGCTTGGTGCGGCGGGCCCTGCAGCAAGGCTGTGTCTCCTGGGGATGCCCTGGAGATCCATGGTCTGTGTTGCCTCTGCCAGTGCAGCAGCTAATCCCAGTGGTGGCCCCTTTTTATCCAGGGATGGAAGAAAGTGCTGCATGCTTGGGTTGCTTGTTTATGTTTCAAGTTGCAGGTAAAATTTGTGGTAAGAGCAAAAAGTGATTTTTTTTTTTTTTTTTTTTTTTTTTTGTCGGGGTGTGGGTGGGGAAAGTGAGCTTGTGATAATATCTGGAGATACTGGAGAGGAACAAACCCTTGTCTCAGCAAACCCAGAAACCTTTTCTGCTGGCTGCTGCACTTGTTCAGATAGTTCCCCCAGTTGATGGCTGGTTCCTACCAGAGGAATCTTCACCTGCTGATGTAAATGAGATCATCCCTCCATTTCAGCATTGGTCCTGTGCTACATATTTGCCTGACTGTCTCTAAAGATGGTTTATCCAACCCTCAATGAATTCCTCTGACTATAGAGAATGGATGCTCGGTAAATATGATGTTTTCTCTCTGTTGGACCTGTAAAGAAATACAAGCATGCGATGTCTGTCATGGCATGTGCTGTATGTTTTGTTGTGATCACTATGGGGTGCATGGTCGAGGGGTATAAATATGCATGATGCAGATTAAGAATAGATGAGTAGACACTGTGCAGCTGCTGTTTCCTTTCTTCTGATGCTGCACCCAGACAGCACATCCTGGGCACGCACACATACCTGCATGGCTCAGCTTCCCGTGGCAGTGCCGCATGTGCAGGAAGGCAGTTGCAGCTCTCAAGCAGTGTTTGTCCATCTGCATCTCTGTTTTTTTTTCCCCAGCTCCCAGGAGGCTGGCCTGGCCCCAGAGAGCGCCTTGGAGGAGGTCGGGGCGGCTGAGATGGCAGCAATGAGAAAGCAGGTGAGAAGGGGGTGAAGGGCTGCAAATGTTTCCTGGGAAAGCCGTAGGAGGGTGGGTGAGGAGGCTCCAGGGGTCTGTTGCTCAGTCCTGATGGGCTGGTGTTGCCAAGCTAGTCCCAGCTGATGCTGCTAATGGAAAAGCAGGGGAGAACTTAAATGTGTGTTGACCCATCAAGCTCCTATTCTGGGGAGCTGTAAGGGCTACAGGAGACATCCAGACCCCTCCATCTGCTGGCAGTAAAGGGCTCAGATGCTCTTCTGGTGGGAAGGACCTCTTCCTGAAGCATCTGCTCAGGAGCTGAAGTACTGCTGCTAATTCTGCCACAAAGATAACTGCTGCTCTAGAAAAGGAGGACCTAAAGGAGACGGCAGCTCCCATCCCTCCATCCCTTGCTGTCCCACGCCTCTGGGGTGTAGCTGGTGTCCTGCGCTTTGCTGCAGGGCTGACAGTGGCCCCGCTGCTTCCCTTGCAGTTGATGAGGATCTCGGGGAGGCTCCGTGTGCTGGAGGAGCAGTGCAATGCCTGGCGACAGAAGGAGACCCTGGTTTACTCCGTACTGATCTCTGCCTGTCTCATCAACACATGGCTCTGGCTGAGGAGATGATTTCACCTGCTGTGACCTCCAGCCAAATGCTGTGGTCTGTTCCTTATCTTCCACCCTGAAAGCTTGTGTAGAGTGGTTGAGTGTTTTTAAACAGCTGGTGGGTTTTCTTTTCTTCCTTGTGCAACTGCTGTTTGGTGGAGGTAGTACTGCCAGTGTCCTGTGCCACAGCTCCCTCTCTAGGAGGTGCAGAGCTGGAGGAGCCAGCAGCTCCCATCCCTGCACCCACTGCTGTGCCACTATCTCCTCGGCTCCCATCCTGCTGGAGGTGTTTCAGCAGGGTTTGCGAATGTTCAGATCCAAAGTGACTGTAAGAGCATTGCTGAGGTCTGGACTTATCCAGGGGCTTGGCTCTTTCCCAGAGAGATTTAAATGGGAAACCTCCCCATGGTGACTCTTGTATCAACAGTGGTAGCACCAGACAGGCCATGGAAAATTGCCCACTTGGGCAGCAGTAGATATTTGTTAGGTTGCCAATGCCAGAGGGCAGGATCGCTCCCAGATCTGCTGCCAAGCTGTAACTTCAGCAATGGTGCAAGAACCCAGGAGAGGGGAATTCTTGGCCCAGATGCTCTTCAACTAACAACAAGCCCAGTTCAACAGCTTTGCTGTTTGTTTCTTTTTGTGGAGTTTAGTAACACTCGGATCTGAGGTGATGACTTTGAGATGCTTTTGGTGGTTTATCCAGTACATCTGCTAGAGCTGTGCTTGTAGGCTCTGGGGGCAGGTTTTGGCATAGCCTAACAGGACCTCTCTGTTCTACCTATATGTAATTGTCGCTGGATCTGCAGGTCATCCAGCTGTCCCAGTAGGTTATTTACAGACATGGACGCTTGGGTGTTTTCTGCCTGCAACTGCATCAAGCATCTGTGACTGTAAATCTGGCAACTGGACAGTGACTAATAAATAACTGTCCCACAAGTAATTGCAGGTCTGAACTTGTGCCTGATAGCTGAGCTGAGGAGAGCGCTGAGATTTATTGCAGATGAGAACCAGGACGGTGTGGTGGGCTCGGCGTGCCGTGCTATGGCCGGGTGTACGCCGGGGATGGGAACACTGGTGCAGGGTGGTTCCTGTGGCTTGTGGCTCGGGGATGTGGTCATGGTTACCAGGGGACCTTACACAACGGGTCTGTAGAAGGGGGTTGCTGCTATGTGACTCACGCCAGGAAAGTAAGTACATCGTTTGGCTGGTTTCGCTTCTCTGAGAGGTGCAAATGTGTTCTGGAGGAAGCTTGTGGCTTTTTTGGGGTTTTTTTAAGCTGCAATTTAGGATGAGAAGGACCAATGCTTTGGGGGACACACAACCTTCAAAGTGTGGATTGAAGATGTTTGGAGGAGAGGTGATCAAACTGTATGTGTTCTCAAAGGCTAATTATTGGCAGGTTGTAGGGGATATGATATGACTTTTACGTAAGACATAAATCTTGGTGTAAATCTGGAAACACTGACCCATAAAATGCATATTTTAATAAACTCTGTGTTCTGGATGTGTTTCTTCTACCAGCTGATCCTGCTATCCCAGTGGATGGGAATGGGTAAGGTTTATTCCCGTGGCAGCAGGACCCTGACCTGGTGCTGGATCTCTCAGCCACGCGTCCTTATCTAGTCGGACACTGGATTTCTGACATCTCTAGAGCTACAGGCCATTTGGCCCACTGGTGTAAAACACAGATGCCAGCCACCCTGGCCGGTGGTGATCTGCAGGAGGAGAGTTTCTGGTTAATGCCAACCCTGTGATGCTTTTATTTATTTCCTTTCTCTCTTCGCTGCCTCCTCCTCCTGGCTCTTCTTTCTCCCAGGGGCACATGTGGCAGGGCTGGGTGTCTCTTAGGGTCACTGCCATAACGATGTGCACGGAAAATAGTGTCTTGTGCAATACGGTGCCCGAGGGAGCAACTCCTGGAGTTCCCGTTCTGAAGGCAGCTGCAGAGAGGGAGCAGAAGGAGAGGTGGAAGGGGGACACGTGCTGCTGCCGGTGCTCCTGGTCTGTGAGCTGTCCCCAGCGTGGGCGTCTGTGGCATGGGGACAAGAGCAGGGTGCCATGTCCCTTGCTGCTGGGTGCTCACCCAAGCAGCGCCCAATGCTGCCAGCCATCCTGGACATCGCTGCAAAAATTCCATTTCTTCCTTCAGGCTCCCAACTGTCCAGGTTTTCAGTGAGATCAGAACAAATGGAATTTAAGGCTTTGATGGAAATAAAAGGTAAACCTTTGATAGCGAAGGGACTCCCGGTGCTGGTGCTTTCGAATCAGCCCTGCACACGGTGCAGGTCTCCAGGTACACGGCAAGGACTGATCCAGCCTCAGCTGCTGCAAGTGGCTAGATGCTGGAGCAAGCGGGTAAAAATTAACCTCTTTCTTATTGCTTCGGGGATGCAAATTTTTTGCTAACTAGTTATTAGAATGGCCTTGTGAACAAAATACGCGGGCAGAAATTGGTGAAAGATGCATTTTGCGATCATTTTCAAACTCTGCGGCTCTCTTCGACAGGACTCCAGAGCAGCCCATTTGGTCGCCTGCTCCCTGAGTGTGAGAAGAGGTGACTACATGGGAGGGTGTTAAAATGTGGCTACTTCTGCAGAATTTTCCATCCTAGCAGTAGCTGTGGCACAGCCTGTGAAGCAGGGAACTAGTCACCAGCTTTGTTTCTCCGCTGGGCAGAGGCAGGTGGCCTGGGAGGCAATCTTGGCGCATCACTGGTGCGGCAGGACCTGAGCCCAGCTGGGGGTCTGCCGGCTGTGCCTGTCCCCGGGTGGGCAGTGACCCTTCCCCCAGCATTGCTGGAGACTCGGGAGCCGCTGGGCCCAGGGCTGCTCCGGATGGCTGCGATCTCTAGCCGAGCTCTGCCCTGAGAGATGTCTGGGGTCCCTCCAGCCACCGAGGAGGTGGCAAAGGGAGAAAGGGACGTGCGGGTAGGGAAATGGAGCGACATGTTTCCCTCGCCCCCCTTTCATCCCCCAGGTAATAGCTGGCTGCTATTAACTCCTCTGAAGCGTGCCTTGCTGCTCAGGGCATTGAGGATGCTCAGGGGACGGGCGTGCTATAGTGACGACACACACACGCGCGCACACGCACATGTGCGTCCTCCTCGCACTCCGCGGCGGCCCCTCCGCTGGTGCCAGGCTGCTGCCCGGCCACCTCGCCTGCTTCTCTGCTCGGGCAGGGCAGAAGGGCAGGGGTGCAGGCAGCTCCGCTTGCGCTGGCTTTGCATTGCAGCTCAACACGTGTTTTAAAAGCCCGAGTGCTCCGGAGACAGCCTGGGAGCTCGGCGGGGGGTGGGATGCTCCCCAGCCACCCCTGCTAGCCCGCACTAGGCAGCAGCCAAGCGTTGAAGGATTCGGGGGACGCCAGGCTCGTAAGTGGACAGCGGTGACTGCCCCAGGGAGGTGGCTCTCCTGGGTGTGCGTGACTGTCCCTGTGCGTGCGGTGTGGCTGTAGTCTTTGTGTGTGTTGGTAGAGGTGTGCAAGGCACTGCCTTCCCCCCAAGCAGAGCCTTGGCTATGGGCTGCACCGTGTGAGAGCAGGAGCCTGTGGTCTCCAGGAACCTGCCTCGTCCGTGCATTGTGGGTATGGAGGGTGTACGGTGCCCCGGGGCAGCAGGCAGGGCGGCCAGCGTGGGAATACCTGGTCTAGGTGGGGCTGGGCAATGCCGGCGTGCCTTTGCGTCTGTGCGTGTGCAAGTCTGTGTTTCTGTGAGCGCTTTTGCCTGCTGTGGTCTATACCAGGGTGCAGCAGAACGGTGAAGGCTGCATGTGATGCTGGGGCTGGGCAGGCCCTGTGGGCATCTCTTGCTTTTTAGATAAACAAACCCTGGTGAAATTCTACATTTAACAGCTCCACAGCAGCCTCCGTGTGTTAATGTAGGGTCTTCTCTGCTGCTCTCTGGAACCAGATGGTGGCTCCTGCCAGCAGGAACCTCAGCAAGGCTCTATTTAAATAGCAAACCTTAATTTCCAGTGCAGGGGGGATTTCTGTGGTGATGAGAGGCAGGACTCGCTGGGCAGACCACCAGAAGGTTGCAGTGCCCAGCGGAAGGAGGGTGGTTGCTCAGGTCCAAACACCCGTGTACCTGCACAGAGTACCCCGTGCTGCTGCACGACAGCATGTCCCCACCAGGGCTGGCCTTGCGCTTACATCCCTTACAAGTCTGTTTTCTTGTTCTCGGGCAGGCAGCGGTGCTGAGAGCTGTCGGCTCGTTGTCATGGCGTGGCTCGCTGGGGATGCTGTTGCCCTGGCAATGGCTGAGGACCTTGAACGACAACGAGAGCATCCTTCATGGGCCACAGGCAGATGTGGGACCTCTTGGGGAGGGTGAAGTGCTCTGCAGGACTCTTACTGCAGCATCAGCAATGGCTGGTGGTGGAAAACATGGGATGGGCACATCCGATGGGGTTTGAACCTCTCTCTTCCCATACTGTGCTGTACCTCTGTGTTCAAACCACATGATGTGTCCTGCATGGCTCTTCTTGTGGTTGTTTTCTGCTCTTTGCAGGTCTCTGAGGCAGGGTGTGTGCCCATGGTATCCTCACATGGAGGATGACGGACAAGAGTAATGGTCTGCGTAGCTCACCGGCCAACTGCCATCCCTGCCCACCCACCCAAGCTCGAGTGGAGAGTGATGCGGAGGGGACGGGGCTCAGCACCAGGAGGTCAGGCTGGTCCCTGGTTTGGTTGAGAGAGGCAGTGGTGGGGCAGGAGAGGAGTGGGACAGCTCGGTGTGTCTGCTGAGAACTGGCATGGGCAGGGCCGTGATGCCAAACCTCAGCTGTGGGCTTTGTCAAGTTTGTCTGGCTGTGGGCAGGTGCCACGATGGCGTGGTGTGGCTGTAACCCCCCCTCTTCCCCACTGCAGGGCCTGCTCAACCCAGGATGACGCCGCCTCAGAGCTGCAGAGCGGGGCTCCCCCAGACCAGGGGGAGCAGCCGGCTGCCTCCGCTTTCCAAGGCAGGGGAGCCTTGGCCAGGTACCTGTGTGTGCTGCTGGCCCGCGGTGAACCTGAGCCTT